TGCATCGGTGGTGGGAAATAGGCTCTTACCGTTTGAAGAATTCACAGGACACCTTTTAAAAATAGACTCTACAAAGTAAAACCTGGGAACAAACGAGGGCACACAATTAAGCCTCCCCCCCTCCCCGCCCCAGCTGTCCTATTTCGGGCCTTAAAAAGAGTGTGACCTGAAGGAACTTAGCCGAGGAAGCTTTTCCTGTGATAAAGTGAAGGGTTCACATACTTAATTTTTGCATCGTTAGCTTGCTGCTAAAGGCACTGGTAGCAAACAAACAAACCCTGCCAGAGCTGTAACCTGTTGAATAAGAAACAATGCTACAGTACTAGTTTGCTGCTTAGTAGAAATAGAAAACTATATTACAGTACATTAGAGCATTAAAGCTATCTCCTTCAAATCCTGCTGAAGCTGAAATAGCTTGCTGCTCCTGCTGTTGCATTTCATAACATATATTTCCATCTCCAAAAAAGGAAGCTAGAGAGCTTAGAAAAATAAGAGAGGATATCCTAGAACTGGACTGGGCCGAGGTGAACAGTTTGGCTGTGGAAGTTTAGCTAGTTGATGGAGGCCTAGCGTTCAACGAGGTGCTGCACGCTTGATAAAACACTCTTCCTGACAGAACAAACCCTTCACACAGAGCTAGAGATCTGAGAGGAGTTCTAGCCTAATTTTCTCTCCACCATGCTAATTTCCGTGAGCAGAAAGCAGCTCACTAGGTGTCCTTGAACCAGTTAGTGTCTCTCACTCACAGGTTTTAACCTACCTCACAGGGTAGTTGTGAGCATAAAATGGGTTGGAGAGGAATATTGAGCTCTTTGGAGGAAAGGTGGGATATAAATGTACAGTGGTACCTCAGGTTAAGTACTTAATTTGTTCCAGAGGTCCGTTCTTAACCTGAAGCACCACTTTAGCTAAGGGGGCCTCCTGCTGCCGCCGCGCCACTGCAGCCCGATCTCTGTTCTCATCCTGACACAAAGTTCTTAACCTGAAGCACTATTTCTGGGTTAGCAGAGTCTGTAACCTGAAGTGTATGTAACCCGAGGTACCACTGTAATATTATTAATTAATGAATAATTGTTTTGTACGAAAAAGCACCCCATCATGTGCGCACCCATCAGCAGTTTGAAGAGGCACTAGGCAAACACAGAACTAAGCACAAGGCTTTTCTGTTACCTTAGCTTCATGAATATTTTTGTTAACAGTTTGGAAAAGACAGGTGTAAAACAATACGGACTTCTCTGTTTTCAAACATAAAACTCCACTGGGATAACACCACCATACTACTGTTGGTGTAGAATGAATGTAGGCGATCGACAAGATAGTGAAATTAATTTTAACTCCAGCATAACAAGTTACTTCTGTGGAAGCGGAAGACCATACTTTTAGGAATTCTAGTCCTGCTGGTAAGGTTGGCTTTGAATATTTTAATGGGATTTCTAATGAGATATGTGAATGAATGTAACAGTGGGCATGACAGTTTAAAAAAACGCGCACACACACAAGCACAGCATTGATTTGACCCATAAAAGCCTCTTCATACATTGTAGTAGAAGAAGAGACCCATTAAATCTTTCAGGAGCAGGGAACACAATTCTCATAACACTGAGCGTTTTTTTAGTGCAAATGTCTTTCTGTAGACATTCATGACTGAATACACCACTTCTCCTGAAGCTGAAACAGAGGATCAAACAGACATGACTCAGCAGATCCATGAGCAGCAGTCTCAAAAGTTTTATAAAAGAGCCATGCCATGTTTAAACCCCTTCCCCGCATCACTTTTCTGAGGGAGATTACCCCAATTGACCCTCATTCCATAATAAAGCAAACCCCAAACCAATTTCAAGAAAATGTTTTTAAACCTTCCTGCAGGAACACAATTGCAGTTGTGTGTGTGTGTGTGGATAGTTGAATTCCATTCAAAAAGGCTAAAGCAGCAATTTCCACAAGTGGATCAATCTCTTCACCGTGCCATTTTCTCAGTAGCAACGGCCTTCTTCCGCCCTTATTTGCATGCTAGGGAAAAATATGGGCAGCACAAGTAATTTAGTTATCTACTCTAAATGTAAAATGAATTGGTACCGCCATGAATGAGCAATTATTTTCAGTTATTTGCTAGAGAACGTCACTACGGGTAGCATTTGATTGTTTACAAACTCTCTTCCTATTTGGTTTTTCCTCTTCCCAGGGTTGAAGCTTTGCGCGATACAGCATCTTCACTGGAGCAGGAAAAGGAATCACTTCTAGAAATGATCCATGGCATACAAAACAGCCAGGATATGAGGAACATTAGTGAAGGTAAGAGTCCAGCAGTTCTTGAATTACTCACTCACTTTGGGCAAATGAAAAAAAAGATATACAGTATAGGGTAGTAGCCAATTGGTGGAAGGAGGCTATTTTTAGCAATTTCTCTTACTCCCTGTAGCTCCCAAAATTCACTCCAAAGTGCCATGGGCGTGTGGATATCCCAGTCCTATTGGGGTGAGGAATAGAAGGTTGCAGGGAGACAGGAGAAATCACCCAAAATTATTCCCCTTCCTTGTTGTTGTTGATGGGTGCCTTCCATCTGTGGAGCAACACCAATTGTGTACCATTCATAAAACTCATAATTTCACATTCTTGGAAAACACACCCCTTTGAGCCCCTTTGCCTGGTAGTGAAACACTTGTTATTTTGCATGGATAGCTGCAATATTGGCCAAGTCGAAACCCTCTCCTAAGAGAGAAATCTCTTGGCAAGCCCACTAGAACTATGATTGCACTCCCAGCTTCTATGTTGTACGGTAGAAGAGGCAATTATACAAATAATACTACTAGTTTAGCTTGACTTTTCCAACTTAGTACAGCACGTTGGTTTGATGTAAAGCTTTAAAACCAAACGTTTTCACTTTCAAAATGCAGGTGAAAGAGAAGAACTCAGTCTGACTGCTAAACGTTTGATGGGCAGAACCCTCACGGTGGAGGTTTCAGTAGAAACCATCCGAAATCCCCAGCAGCAAGAGTCCCTATTACATGCCACACGGATGATCGATGAAATAGTTGGCAAACTATTGGATGATTTGGAAGACTCCAAGAGCCGCTTAATGTCGCTTTATGGTGCTTGTACATCTGAGGTGCCTGCTGGACCTGTTAACCAAAAATTCCAGTCTGTTGTAATTGGGTGTGCGATAGAAGATCAGAAGAAAATCAAAAGACGGCTAGAGACTCTTCTCAGAAACATAGAAAACTCTGAAAAATCCATCATGCTATTGGAGCACCAGAAATCCACCGCAAGGTACCTCTGCAACAACGGGAAAGATTAAAAGCGAAATCAAATAAATCAAAGAATTGCTGCTTCCCTGGAATTTGAAGAAGAAGAAAAAAGCAACACCAGAGGACCTTGCATGTCTATGTAGCCCTTAAACCAACTCTTGGGCGTTCAGAGCAGAGGCATAGCTAAAAGGGAAGAAGCTTGGCAAAATTCCCTTACTTTACCCTCAGTGAGAAGACTACCAATTAAAAAATGGACTCATATGAAGCGCTTCCTCACTCTGCGGCAGATACAGGATTAAGCAGCTACAGTATAGGACTGTAGAAGCACATGAACATCCAGCAGTTTTCAATCCATTGCTTTTCTTCCCCCAGAGTTATCCAGCCTATTTTACTCTGTGTGGGGAATAGTAGCGTCCTGGATATATTAGAATAGGTAGCTATAGCCATATTTGATATCAGTATTAAAATGTAGGCATCTGATGATGTGCCAATGATTTAACTTTTCATAAGCTGTATTTGGTTTGCTCCCGTACAGTTAACTGTTTTAGTATTTTGATACTTCTGTTATAAAAAAAATCCGCTGATGAATTCCAGAAGCTCCTCAATCCCTGTTTTGCTTTGTTCTCTAGAAAGCTTCAGTGTCTACCATCATGTGCAAAAATGTCACATCGCACACTTCCTCCCCCACCCCTCTCTCTCTCTCTCTCACACACACACACGGCAGGTAAATGAGCATTGCATAGGGAGAGGATTCTGGGGTAAGCGGATTGCTGCAGTAGCTGCAAAGAAAACGATGTGCACTTTTTTCTTGCTGAAAATTAATAAAAGTAGATTGCACTCTACATTGTAAACACTTCCATAGCCTTTTTTTTTTTTTTTGGTAAAGGTTATATTTATTTTTTTTATCTATAGAGCTACAAATTGCTGGACCAAGGCAAATTGTGAGAAACTTTATATTCTAGTCGCACTCCCTCTATTACTCTACCTGCTCAGAAATCTTAACGTGTAGGTATCAATTTGGTCGCCAGTTGCTACATCTCTGTTATGGCTGTGGAAATTGCTCCCCAGTTTTCTGCAACGCTCTGGGTAGTGTGGAAGGCCGAATGATAGCTGGTGCACAAAGACTCGCTGTGAAGCTGACCAAACGTGTGCTGTGCACCCTATTGTGGTGGAAGCAATGAAGGTTGCTTAGTCGCCTCCAATGCATCTTTGACCTACCCACCCAGTGGGGTTTATTGGCATCTACCATTGCAAAGGAGATGGTGGAACTCTCGGAAGCCTGCTGTGACAATGCTAGGCGCATAGAGAATCAAATGGCTTGCCTTCATAGGAACTTGAGTCCTGCCATTATTTCCAGGTCCAGGTGAGGTGTCCAATGCCTGGCTTGGTGGCACCAGTTTCAGTTTTTTTCATCCTACAAACATGGACAATATGCTTGTGTAGTCCAATCACAATATGTTTTTTTGACCATTATTCACCATGGCTCATTCAAGCCACATGCTGAGGGTTATGCAGGTGGGTCTGGGGGGAGGTTGATGCATCATTATGTGAGAGAAGCACCATTAAAGGGCTATGCTATGACCAGTGGAACTCCACCTGGGAACAACAGAGGCAGGCCCCTTAGAACAAGCTCCCCTCTGGAATATAGCAGGCGCAATTGTTTCAATTGTTTATTTAAAACATACTTCCTCACTTAGACATTTCCCTTGTCCACTCATGCTGATTTAATAATTCCAGCACTGCAATGATATTTTGCTGTTTGAGGGATGTTTATTACTTCATTAGCATAGTTTTTACTACTGTAAACAGCTCTGGAGGTTTTCTGTTTTTTTAAAAAATGAAAATCTGCCTACAACTTATTAATAAATGCAGTAAACAGACAGAATACCAGTCACTTTTGTTATCCTACAATAGTTAAGACTTGAAACATAACTCAGAATCAGGCATACTATAACATAACTGGCACCTTTAAAAATTTGAGAATAGTTGAATGCCCGGCAGACACTGCATTGTATCCAAGGCATATTATGATTTAGGAAAAGAATGTTAGTAAATACCATTTGACTGCATGCCAGTTTTATGGAAAATCAGCTTTCGGTTAAAATCCTTAGGTTCCAATTCACCTAAGGGGCACAGGGGTATGGAAATAGGCTTTGGCACACAGACAATACCAATGGAGTCTATTTTGTGCACATAAAGGAACAAGCAGAGAGAGATACACTTCCAGTATCCAGTGCTGCATGAAAAATGATGTTTTCTAGCCTGGGACTGTAGACAAAGAGCAAGGTAGATAGCTGGTTAACAGCGCAAATCACCGCTGTAGAGGTGTTAGCTGGACCCACTTCCCTCCTTCAAAATGGGCCAACTATCACAACTATCAAAGCTGGCAGTGTTACCCATACTTTTAGCAACATATGCAGAGTTGTTGTTTTTTGCATGAAAAGTCTTCTCGCTTAGACATCTAGCAATGACTTTCAATTAACGCAGTTGCTCATTAGGCAGGAATTCAACACTGTACTCTGACTGATCCCTCAGTGCAAGCATGTTGGCTTGCCAGATGGAACAATTCCTTCTCTTATGTGCTGCTCTGGGGTGCATGTGGGGAGGAAAAGTGGGGGAACCCCCCTTGTGCAAACAGAAATCCTGGTGCAGGGCTTCTGCCAACAGGACTCGTAGTTGAACATGATACAAAAATGACTGGTAGTGCATCTTCCTTCTGTACTTAATACATCTATATTGAAAATGCATTACAGAGGACTTCTGTAATAATTTTCTGGCGTTAAGAAAAGATATCCTAGAGATATCTAGGATGGTCCGTTATCAATCTTTAGCCTACTAAAGGCACTCAACTCAAGCTTTAAATTCTGAAAACAGTATGCGCTCAAACCTCAACATACAGCAGCACAAGTACATGTTATAAACACACATTACATTTGCACTATTTTATACAAAGGCAAACAAGTAAAAAAATCACTGAGATCAGATTCCTTCTGTTCACAAGTACAAAACATGTAAGGCTACTAAGTTTAATGTAAAAATTTTCATATAAAAATAATGTGCACACAGAGCCACAGATACGTAAGTAAGATTGAGTTGACAGTGGACAATTGGTAACTTGCTGATATGCTCTTGCATTTGTCAAAACAAAGCAAGACTTAATACAGTTTGGACCCTGCAATGCCCAACTCATCGCCAGCAATGGGAATGGTTATGAAAGCAAAAGGAATCCTATGCTATTCATTATGTATGTATAACTATATACTTTTCATTCCATGTTACTCGATAGCTAGGCAAAGACTCCCATCGAAGAAAAAAGTATGTTAGTTTTAGCATATGCATGTTCATGGAATTTCAGAAGCCCTCTCTCAAAATACAACACTTACTGTGGGATGTTCTCTTAGGACGGACAATGCAATATTTCAAGGTTGATGGATATAGTTTTAAAAGGAATCCATCGGGTAGCTGAAAAGTAACATTCATGAAACGAGATCAATATTCAAAAGAACTGTACAATTCAGCTGCCAGAGCTCCAGGTCATGTTATTCGCCATTGGATATAATTACGTTCCTCAGCTACTAATATCCAAAGTTTAGAATCAGAGTAATTTGGTAGTGACAGTACTTAGTTACAGAAATACTGTAGAAATATTAAACAACATGTAAACAGAAAGCAATCTTATAAATGCATGCTTCAACAAAGAGAACTAGGGTTAAAGTTTTACCAATGATCTTGCAGCTTGAGATTTTTTAAAAACAACTAATGCCCTCAACCCAAGTGCCCTGAAAATGCTGCCATCCTGATGAATGGGGTGGGCTGTGACATAGGAGAGCTGAGGGAGAATCCACAGAGAGAGCCTTCATAACCCTATCACATTCAGCCTCAAAAAAGTTAGTGGACCATGTTCAGGGGGGTTGTTGTAGAGAGGAAGGGATATGGAAGTCAGTTTTCCCCAAGTCCCAATATGTACCCTTAGCTCTGGCTCCAACCCACTTTACTGGGGTACACCATTAAAGGGCCAACAATTTAATCCTATGCATGTTTATTTAAAGCATGTCCCATGAACCTGGAAGGTCTTGCTCTAAGACTATGCATAAGAGCCACAACGGCATGATTAAGAACAAGTGTGTATTTAAAGTAACAAAAAAAAGGGGGGGGCTTATTTCCCTGAACCTGGGATGCTCAATAGATATTACAACAAGCACTAGAAAAAGTCCTCAAAAGCACTTTGATAAAAAAATCTCTTTATATTTTGCCATGTTTTTCCATTAATATATAAGCTATAGGGTTCTATTTTTTCAAAAAAAGAGCTGATTGAAAATAGAACTACCAGGCTGTACCATTTATCACCTGCTTGCCTCATTAAAATTTAGAATATATATGTATATACATATGACACTAAATTAACTAAAACATCTAGGTGTAGCAGCAGAAGTATTTGCCTTTGGCACCGTACAATTTTTAAAAAGAAAAGTTAAGGCCCACAGAGTAGGGAGAATGTAAGCATGCACAATACCATTTGGGAAAGGTTTGTTCAATTATTTTTTTTAAGTGGAAGTCATCTTTAGGATGCCAGTTCAGAAATTATCAGGAACATATCATTGGGCCCAGTACCTGATTTATTATCCTGAATCTCTGACCAAGTTTTTCTATACACACATTGCAGCTAGAATTCATAAGCTATATAAATATTGCACCGCCAATATTGCCAGAATGTGCATAGGGTAGTTTAACAAACTATTAATCCCAACTGAGCTATGTGGTCAAATAAGTAGGGAAAGGCATTTTCTCTTGAATGGTACCAATACTTAAGCATTTCAGCTGAACTTTTTCTTCTTCTTTTTAATAAAGTGAAACCTATTGTACACTTTAATACAACGCATCTTTCGCCTGGAAAGTTGTCCTATTGAATGTAAAACAAATGCATGGGGGCAACGGTTCTATTTTTGTGCTGCTGGGGGTCTCATTATGTACTGATAATAATTCATTGCAACAGGAATATCCACTATCAATGCAAGATCCAATGCGTGCAACATCTGCTAAAGCACTGATAAAACACCTCTACAGCCAGTTGTGTCCCTTATGGGTTTCAGCCGAGCAGCTGTGACAGACCATCTTTTCTTCTCTATGCGGGAGTGTTAGGGAATGCTGCAGTTGCTAAAAGGGCTTCTGTTTTTCTTGGTCCTTTGTTTGTTTGGCCTTAGGTTGATGACATCACCACCATTAAGCAAGTTAGAATTCTGCCCAGAATGACTTCCACCTGCTGTGTTGAAAACACCTATTTGAAATCAAGCACAGGCACAAAAACGGAGTTACATATATGCAAACTGACCATCTTTGAAATATATGAGAGATTTAAAAATTTTAATTGTGAGCATCTTTGAACACTGTGAGATGTGTCCTATATACAGATAGATAGATGATAGATAGATAGATAGAGATAGATAGATGATAGATGATAGATAGATAGATAGATAGATGATAGATAGATAGATGATAGATATAGATAGATAGACAGACAGAAATACAACTTAATGTAAAAGCATGGATAATGCACAATTTATCCTTAGTTTTTCCATTTTAGAAATGTGTGCCTGATCAAATAATGACTTCATAAGCCGAGATCCCAGAGACAATTAAATAAAATTAATGAATGCTACTGTCAATCTTTAATATATCTTTTTGCGGGGGGAAAGACGAAACCTAAGGGCAGGATTCAACTAAGTTGTTGCTTGGAATGAGATCTGCTCATGCAATGGAATTTTCCTCCCTTCTCTTCTCCCTGTGACCCTTAAAGGGTCAGGGGAAGCCCCAAGTTTAGGGGGTGCAGGGCAGGGAGTCCCATTGTGCGAGGAAAGCTCGTTTCTCACATACTCCAGTTAATGCTATGTTGAATTTCACCCTCAGTTATTGGACATTGACACTCACACTCATCACTTGGCAACTAAAGCACAGCAGAGGCATAACCCTGCCACAACAAATCTTACTTTTAGACACAAGAAATGGTGAAGGGGAGGGGAGAGCAGACTGTGAAATACTTTAAAGAAGAGCTACATACAAAAGTTCAGTGTCTATGTACAAAAGACAGTTTACAAAGCTATTTTCATCAGGTGCCAGTTTTTTCTTTAAAAAACAACAAAACGAAAACAGCCATCTCTTGTACATCTTCGCTGGCTACCATTAATGGCAGCTATATATTTTCAAACAATGCCAATATGCAGGGAATTCTGCACTGTCCATTCTTTGCATAACTTCAGTGCACAAGATTTTAAGAAAAGTGGCTGACATGCCCTGGCATCATTAGTACTGTAGTTTGACATTCTAGAATAGAAATCATAGCCACACACACACACACAGCACATTTTCCCTACAGCTATTTGGCAAATTAAGTGGTTTTTTTATTTCACTTTCATTGAAATGCACTAGGAACAGAACAGGCACCCCATAGTTAACATTACATTTTATCAGCAGGCAATACTGTCTGGCGGCATACGTACCGATTTTGTTACTACTTGTGTGTACTACTTCTGGATCTTCAACTATTCTTTGTTTGAGTTTTTGAAGATACTTCTCAGCCAAATACTTAAAAACTGCAGAATATATATAAAGAAACTTTCAGGCATTAAGAAAAAGAGACATGCACAGTTTTACATATTCAAGCTACTAATCCAGGTCCGATTTCAAAGTAACAAAACTCCTACCGACCATAAAGAAAGAAAAATCCAACCACATAAATATCTCAGAAGGTGGTCACATGCAAGATAAGACACATATTGCAGGTCAGGATGAATCACATGTATACCTGAAGGAGCGTCTCTACCCCCATAGTTCTACCCGGACACTGAGGTCCAGTGCCAAGGGCCTTCTGGCGGTTCCCTCACTGCGACAAGTCAAGTTACAGGGAACCAGGCACCTCCCATCAGATGTTAAAGAAATAAACAACTACTGGACATTTAGAAGACAACTGAAGGCAGCCCTATTTAGGGAAACTTTTAATATTTGATGAATCATTGTATTTTAATATTCTGCTGGAAGCCGCCCAGAGTGGCTAGGGAAACCCAGCCCAATGGGCGGGGTATAAATAAATTATTATTAAAACCATTTCAGAACAATTTGGACAACCAACGCCTGGTATATTTATAAGAATGACCTACAGCTAAATATGTACACCCAGTTTGTTCTGTGCTGAACAAGCTGCCCAACCCTGCTCCACGACATTAAAGCCAATATCTTTTTCGTCATGATTATAGGAATGTAAATAGCTGCCTTTTATCAAGTCACATCTATGGTGTTAGACAGGAGTCTTTCCTACACTTACCTGGCAATATCAGGGACCCTCTGCCTGCATAGCCTGTGCTCTACTACCAAGGTATGGTTGCTCCCATACATCTCTGCTGCCAGCCTTAGAGCCCTTTGTTTTTCAATCATTCCCTTTGCAATTTGAATTTAGCTTGAGAAGTTACTTTACTTGGGCCTAGCTCTCACTGAAGTGGTAAACACTGGGACGTACCACTTTAGACTGCAGATGGATATTTGCATGATCAAATGCTCTTCAGTCCATCCTGAACATTAAAAATTAGGTGTTGCAGACAAGAATGGATATAGGTTGATCACTTCGGCGAGCACTAGGCTTGACATTAGTGCTGGAAAATAAGAAAATAAGCCAGGTGGCCAAACATGGCCCTCCAACTGTTTTGGGACTACAACTCCCATCATCCCTAGCAAACAGGACCAGTGGTCAGGGATGATGGGAATTGTAGTCCCAAAACAGCTGGAGGGCAAAGTTTGGCCATCACTGAAATAAGCAAACATTTGAAATTCCCTTCCGGAAAAGTTACAGCGAACTCTTACCTTCTGTTACGTTTAGGTCCTCCTTTACAGATGCTCGGTAGAATCTTAATTTTAGCTTTTTTGCCAACGCTTCTGCTTCTTCACTGTTTACCGGAGCAGAAAATTGTTTCAGACACTGGTTCTTCCCCCCCCCCCAGTACAACAGACACAATTAATTTAGATTAAATTTAATCAATCATCTTCATGAAAGTAGATTATATTACTGAAAGGTAACTGTGTGCAAGAGCAGCAGAAGATTGCTGTTGACAATATTGTAGCCTTAGGTTTATTTGCTACAAGGACTGAAGAGGTGGAGCTAACAGATAGTGGGCGGGCAAACGTAACTAAAAATACAGTCATACCTTGGGTTACAGACGCTTCGGATTGCGCACCACGCCAAACCCGGAAGTACCAGAATAGGTTACTTCCGGGTTTTGGTGCTTGTGCATGCGCAGAAGCACTAAATTGCGCTTTGCACATGCACAGAAGCGCCGAATCACATCCCGCGAGTGCGCACACGCGGCGCTGCAGGTTGTGAATGCTGCGGGTTGCAAACGTGCTTCCCGCATGGATCATGTTCGCAACCCGAGCGTCCACTGTATATACAGTAGTCTGTTATAAACCATCACAGCACCTTATGAAATATATGCAATCAATCAAGATATTCAGAGTTCATCTGTTATCTGCCATAGCAGGGAAAACATAGCTCTTGCATACATAAACCAAGTTAAACTAAATCCCATACATTTGTTTATTAAATTTATATTCCATCTTTCACCCAAGGAGCTCAGAGGGGCACTCCCCATGTTATCCTCAAAATAAGCCTGTGGAGAGGGTTTGGCTGAGAGACAGTGAATGTCCCAAGGTCCCAGTGAGCTTCATGGTTGAGTGGGGATTTCTACCCTCACTTGTCTGACACTCTAACCCCTACACCACCCAAGTTTAATAGGCAGCCATTCATTTCCAAACAGCCTGTGGCCAAACTATACCCTAGAGTGCCAGGCCCATGTCATGAGACGCAGGTCTATCCTACCAGTGTGTGAACTGGAGAATGGGGCATGAATGATTTTAAAGTGGAATTGGGAATGGACTAGAGGTGCTGAGCTACTCCTCTTCACTCCCCAGCCTGCCCAAGCCACACTCACTTCCAGTACAAGAAAAATAACCACTGGAGTTAGAACAGGAGCGATAAGACTGCAGGGGCCAGTGGGAGTTAACCACCACCTAACTATACACCTCATTTGTGTTTGTACTCACTACATACTCTCTAAATCCTGCTTTCATTATTATGTTGTTTAAATGGGCTTGTTTATTATACATTTTAATTATTGATGCTTTGTTGTTTGGATAAGATTGTTTTACTATGTATTTTAGTTACATGTAGCTATATTTGTTTAGTTTGTGGCCCGCATGCTGGTAGCTAGCCACAGCGGACCATATATATCCATGCCCATTATCAAACCGAATACTTGCCGCTTCTTTGAATTGTTTGCATTTTTGTGTGACCATTACAAAGTCATTTAAGCGATTTGAAAACTGATTTCACGAAGCATGGCAACAGCACTTACTTCTTTATACAAGATTCATCTAGGAGGTCAATTTTATTCTGAACAAGCACTGTAGGGATGTCTCCGACTTCAGATACTACTTTCTCCTTCCAAGTAGGGATTGCTTCAAAAGACTCTCTGTCAACAGTCGAAAACACAAGCACGCACGCTTGGGCTCCTAAAAGTCACAATTAAGCACAGTTTTTTTGATAACTTTGGTTAACCACATCAAACCTATTAAGAAGCTGGAACAGGACTGTTTTTTCCTACTTTATTCAAATAAAGCAAGCATTTTCCAGCTAGTTTGTGTTGAGCACAGTGGGACTTATACCGGAGTAAACATGGCTTATTGTCCCAAAGACTTTGTTCTTACATTTGACTCAGGTCTTAAGGGCTGCACAGTAAACAGGTGTCTTAGTTGTCAAAATCACTCCTTAGGGTTGTTTATACTACACTTTAAAGAGAACCATGTAATGAGCCCCTTATCAGGAGTCAAATACTTGGATCTGAACAAAAAAACACCACTGCTTGTTATTATAAGAACAAGTTACTCATGATATTCTATCTAGCTCCCCACTGCCAACAGTGAATGGAAGGTAATAGTATATACACTGGCAAGCATTTTACCTGAATTCTGAGCAGTCACTCCTGTACTGTAAGCAGTACGAAACCTTGTGTACTTAATGAAACCCAATAGTCTATGCCTTAGCCAAAGTTCTTTGAGCTGGGGTTGTAGAGAATACCTGCAGTTATAGAGTATTGTTTTATATTGTATATTTTAATTTTAATTAATCTCTGTCAAACTTTGGAGAGGTAGAATACAAAAGAAATAAAATAGGTGTGGATGAACAAAATAGGTGTGCAGAAGGAACTAGATGAGTGGTTCTTAAATTTTGTTTCATTAAGGGCTGCCTTTAATACACCAGACTTTCTTTATAGCTACCATGTGGAAAGCCACCTTAAAAAGCTTTGCAATTAAAACTGATCATCTCCTCTTATCCTCTCTGGCTGGAATGTAACAATGCACATTGTTTAGGAGACATCAAAAGTAACACAGCCTAGAACCATTGCCAGTTTCCTATACGACATGTCAGTATGCTAGTAATTCTATTTACCTCTGTAATAAGCTTTCGTAATTGCATCAAATTCTTCTTGACCTGCTGTGTCCCACAGCATCAGTCGGACATCTTCATTGTTGACTCTTAAAAAAAACAAAAACAGCATACATTCTCAATATTTAATCATACTATAAAAAGCAAAATAAATTTGTTATTTAAAGTATATTTGTGGCAGTAGCGTTTATACCCCACATCTTTTCAGGAACACCTAAATCTATCCTACTTCCTTGTAAATTATTTATGCCTTTTCTAAAAAAATTCATTTTTTTATCACGATAGCTCTTGCCCCTTGCCTTTTATCTCACAACAACTCTGCATGGTATGTGAGAATGAAAAGAGTGTGACTGGCCAAAGGTAACCTAGTAGGCTTCATGGCTGAATGGAGATTGAGCCCAGGTTTCCTGAGTTCTAATCCAACACAGCCTGTCAAACCTTAGGTCCCCAGATTCTGGTTTGACTACAATCACCATTGTTGCCAAGCAGAATGGCTGATTATTAAGGGATGACAGGAGCTGTAGTTTATCATTATATGGAGACCCAAGGCTGTGGGACTACAACTTCCCTCACCCCACAACGATCAACCATGCTGACTAGGGATGATGGGAACAGCAGTTTAACAGCATATGGGGACCTAAGGTTGAGAAGTAACTGCTGTAACTGCTACACAACACTGCCTTGATTTCAACTGAAAACCATCCTGCATCTTACTTTTCCCCTCTTTCTTTGTGAAAATGACTTCACTACTGTGTGTTAGTGAAATTTTAAAATTCCAGCTTTCTTTTACTGTGATGTTCTTGTCCCCTACATAACATACTGCTATTCCCTGTCAGAAATATCCCCCACTTTTTCACTCATTCACACAACCTTTCTATCTCATCTGACAAATGAGACCTTTCCTTAAAAGGGCTGGTCTTTTACACAGTCTGTGCATTTTTTTGCATTTATTATTCAAGTCGGCAAATGTGGCACTTCTATGGAAAGTCTGCAGAATACAATTAGCATATAAATGCCTCACTTTCAGCTCTGTTAAAGAAAGGAAGAATAGTGTCACAACACTTTTCTCCAAGAAAACATTAGCTCAGCTCTTACAAAAAGCATCACACACAGGGAGGGAGGGAGGGAGGGAGAGAGAGAGACATACAAAGAGTGGCAAGAAGGAACTGTGCCCCCATATGTTAAAACACATACTGCATTTCTCTTTCCAGGAAATCAACTCCAATAGTTTTCTTGTAATCTTTTGTGAAAATTCCTTTGCAATATCTCTGGATCATACTGGACTTCCCAACAGCTCCGTTTCCAACGACCACCACTTTGATGGCCACTTCCAGATCTTCCTCCAACATCTTGGCAAATCCCCAAAGTCTGCAATTACTTCACAGTCTTAGCTAGATCTTCCCCGTATCTGAAGAGAAAGAGTAAAAATACTATTAAAGATAGTGCTATTAAAGATTCTAGCTTCTATGATCTACAGTGTATATGGGAGATAAGTGGCTTGTAGACCCTGTCTTTGTCTTTCCCCCAAGGCATAATATCTCACTGTACAGCTGAATGCCCTCAAGTTGACTATTCAGTGTCAGCACATACACCTTGAACCCAAGGACAACTAGGATAGTCAGGGTCAATTGTATCAGATCCTGCCCAAAGATCCTGCTGCAGAATTTTGTTGCCTGAGGAGGAAGATGCATACAGAATGTCTATTCTCTCTAGCTCATTCCTCTTACCAAGCTGCATCAAGCTAACACCATCATTAACTCTCACATTCCAAGGCCAACAGTACTGTATGAAAAAAAATGAAAGCGAAAGTTTAAAAAATACCTACAGTATTTGAATTGTAACAAGTTACGACAAGTGCTCTTTTAAGTAGGGTGGCTTGTTTTCTTACCAGGCATGCACAACAGAAATTTATTCTCTTAACAGTGCCCCATAAAGTATTTGTTTATTATTTGAAAAGAGGGTAAAATCAAGATTGGTTAAGTAGCCCATACAAATACAACTGAAAGAGAGTTACTCTAATTGTTTCAGAATTACAATGTCTGCAGCAATACATATCTTACGGCTGCACAGTATCATACTACAGTCCCTTCACGTCTTAATTCCTACCCGAGGCTGCTGTTTTCCGAGGCATTTCATGTCTACACCAGCGCCTTTCCAAAGATACACACACCCAGGTTTAAGTCAGATGTCAGTGTGCAAACTCTCTGAGGATTAAGCCTCATTCCATTCAGTATGATCTGTTGCTTGTTTCCTTCCCCACCCTGTGTAATGTTCCTTCCAGCCACAAGTTCATCTCATAAATCTCCAACACACACAGACACACACACACAGAGAAAAAACTACACACAAAAAACTATTCAGCTCCTTCCTACATCATACACATTGGCTGCCGTGGGAAGCAGCCTCCCAGGTCAAATTCTACTCCTAATATAATTAGAGTATCTGTTCTCTGGGTTGGCCTTATCCAAGTTCCCTAGGTGAGCAACTATTCTGACATTACACTGTTAATTAAAGGCCATAATTAGAGGGGGGGGAGAGGAACAATGGCACACCAAGACATTTCCAAGGGTGGTAGCTCCACCCGGGGCTGTGACATGTAGCATTCACCAGAGCATGTCTTCATTGTGTTTCTGAAGCCCCCTAACTCACCACCAGGAATGTGCAATACTAGTGTGACTCAAAATGCAGTATGTGGGGCTCGGGCTCAACTGGCCAATGGTGCAGTATACAATAGTCACTGCTTGAGGAAGTCACCTGGTGAAGAAGATAATTTGTAAACTGACTAAGACCAGAGGTCACTTCTGGAGGATTTTGTAAATTTGCACACCTGAATTCTGCAAGGCCCTCCAAGACATACAGCCACTGCAGCAGACGAAGCATGTACGGTGGTACCTCGGGTTACATATGCTTCAGGTTACAGACTCCGCTAACCCAGAAATTATACCTCGGGTTAAGAACTTTGCTTCAGGATGAGAACAGAAATCGTGCAGCGGCAGTGGGAGGCCCCATTAGCTAAAGTGGTGCTTCAGGTTAAGAACAATTTCAGGTTAAGGATGGACCTCTGGAACGAATTAAGTACTTAACTCGAGGTACCACTGTACAGCCCAGATCAGATCACTGACTGTACCACAGGACCCCTAAACTTGTTGGCACCTCCACCTTGAGTTACCACTCCCCCAAGCAACATTTACATATTAAACTCAGGGAAACTCATTTTTACAGACCTGTTCACATGGCTTTTAGTATTCTTCTAAAAAAGAAACCACCCTGACACTTAACAAGTGGTTTTCATAGGGCATCATTTTGTATATACCAAGTCTCACCCTAAACGTAACTAACGGAGCAGTTAGCTATTCAGACAAAATGCACAGTATCACCATCTAAGATAAGGAGTATACTAGGCCTGCCAAGTGACAGGTACACGAAGGCAGGCAAATAAGTGCAGAACTTCAACCAATATAACTGCAAGGGCTGCTTCGTAATGCAGGACACCCCGTGGTTGCAAAATCTCCGCAATGTGGAAGGCCAAAGTTTAAATCTGACTGAGAACTCTGTCTTGGACCATCGGAGAGCAATAAAAATATCAGAAACCCAGAGTACGTACTGAGTGCCATGTCATCACAACTCTCTGAAATGTGAGCTCATAACCAAGGATTTCGAAGCCAGTTTCAGCTTCTCCACCATCTGAGGATGGTATACAAATTTAATAAATAATTGTAATAACCTTTTATAGGGCAGGTACCCAGCTGAATCCTGCTAACCTAGCAGTTTGAAAGCACGTCAAAGTGCAAGTAGATAAATAGGTACCACTCCGGTGGGAAGGTAAACAGTGTTTCTGTGCGCTGCTCTGGTTTGCCAGAAGCAGCTTAGTGATGCTGGCCACATGACCCGGAAAAATGTCTGCAGACAAACGTAGGCTCCCTCAGCCAGTAAAGCGAGGAGACCTACCGGTCAGGGGTCCTTTTACCTTTACCTTTATCCAGCTGAAAGAACATTGTTTCTGTTAAGGGAAGTGGGTGTAGTGGAGTCAGACTAGAATCTGGGGGAGAGCCAGAGACAATCCTCACTCTGTCATGAAGCTCACCTTGCTTGGGTCAGTCCTCGTCTCCTAACCCAAACCTACCCCACAGGTTTGTTGTGACGGTTAAAATGGGGAAAAGGATAACCAAGATTTGCCATCCTGAGCTCTCTGGAGGAAATGTACACAAATGTAAAAAAAAAAAATTGAGGGAGGAGAGTTCAGGCAGGGAGAAAGGTTCGCTCGGAGACTCGGACCGGGGTGGGGGGACGGGACATTTTTGCAATTCCAGCCACACACGCGCGCACATTACGCACAGGCTGCGCGCCTCGGCCGCTCCACCTCTCTCCCTGCAGCCTCCCAAGCCAACACCAAGTCGCCTGCACAGGCCGTTCCCTCCACGACCTTACCAGCACCTCCAGGCAGCCCCGGTGGCGGAGGCGCCCGGCTCCCGCCTTCCCACAGCAGCCAGCCCGCTTCACAGCTTCCCGCCCGGGGCCGCAGGCTCTGGCCGGCCGGCTCCCCAATGCCACTCCAGCAGCGGCGCCTCCCTAACCGGCGGCAGCGCGCGTGGAAGGCGCCTCCACGGCGACGGGCAGCCGGGAGAAGCGGAGGGCCGGCCCTTCCCAGCAGCTTACGCCCATCACCATCATCCCGGCTTCTCCCCGCCACCTCCTCCCAATGGCAAACACATCCCGGGCCGCCGCCCTTCCCGGGCTCCGCTTTCCTCCGGAGGCGAGAGGCGCTTACCGCCCCGAGCAAGCGCCGAGTCCCCGGCTCCGCCGCCCGCTTCTGCTCTCGGTGGGCGGGAACAGCCTTGCTGGCCCGGGTGGGAGATTGCAAGAGGAGGAGGAGGAGGAGGAGGAGGAGAAACGCCACATGCGACGAGGAGCAGCAGCCCCTTCGGCTCTGGGAGGCGCCGGATCCGCCACCAGCAGCTCGGCCCGGGCGAAGCAGGCGAAGCGCCCTGGCCTGGCGGCTCTCCGTCCTGGATGTGCAACCAGATCCTTATGCAAGCCCAGGCTGACGTAGGAAAAAAACCCCGCGGAGATGAACGGTGTATTATTGCTCCTAAACAAGCGCGGTTGGCGCCTAGGTAGCAGCAAGCCCTTGCATGGTGGTGGTTTCGCTTGCTACAGCGCCCAGGGCGCCAATAACTCTCCCCTCCGCCCATCCTAAAATCAAAGGTTTTGCAGTGCAATTCTGTGCACGCCTACCGAGGTGTAAGTCCACCAGGACTTACTCCCAGGTAAGTGCGTATAGGGTTGTGGGTTTTAGGGCAATAGCAGGGTTAAGGCAGGGATGAAGGATCTGTGGGTCCTGAGCACGGGCCGGGCGTCCCCACTGGTTTAAAGCGTTGTTACTTCAGCCAAGAAGATGAGAGTTCAAATCCTCACTTAGCTGGACTTCTGAAAACATCATGCTTTTGGGGTGAAAGATTACTGAGTTCAGTGTGACTGATTTCCATTACAGATTAGTTGTCAGAGGCAACTGGGGGGGGGGGAATTGTTTGGAGGAGCAAGCAATTCATTGCAGGTACTGTATTGTATTTATGTAATATTCATTTACAGGTCTCCTATTACACACCTTGTCCTTTGGCCTAACTATGGTGTCCTGCAGGGTGCCCAGTGCTATCTGCATGAAGCTGCTAGGAAAGTATGGAGGTGCAGAGGTGGTTGTCATTGGTTATGTGCTCTATTTCTCCTTACCCTCACAAATTGGGAAGGCTGGGGAGATTCTGAATAGGTGTCTGAGGTCAATGATGGACTGGATGGAGGTAAACAAACTGAAATTAATTCCTGGAAAGACAGAAGGGTTGAGCTAGGGATAGTGTGTCAGCATACTGTATATGGAGTTAGTTGCATTCCCCTTGAAAATCAGATTCACAGTTTGGAGTTGCTGGAGTTACCCAGCTTTGCTCCAGGGTGCTTAGGGTAGAGCTCCTTATGTGCAGGATTGAATTGTGAAGTCCTCTAATGTTTTAGAATCAGAAAGTGGGATGGGCAGACAAGTGCTGGAGAAGATGCAAACAAGGATTACAACCATTGCTGTTAGCTTTTAGGTTTTAGCTGTTACATAACTGGTAGATATATGTCAGAAGTTTGTTCGAGGAACTTGGGGAAGCATATGCACGCAATGTATAAAGGCATTGCCTGGTAACCATGTATGCCAGGATTCAAATCCAGTGGCAGGTCACACAAAGAAATAAAAAAGCTTCTCATGTTGCATTCAAACTGAAACATCTGGGCATTTTTTTGAAAGTCAAATATAGTAGCAAAAATGAAAAAAAAAAATGCAGATAACATTCCTTCCATCCAAACTGTGGCATTCATTCTCTGTTGACCACAATGCTGGTTTATCATAATTTATTTAGCTTCTAATGCCATTGCAGAATAACCATTTCAGGTGTCGACTGATATAGTGGATTCCTTTTTGCATTATGAAAGCACTATTGTGTTCAACATGTGCCCTCCTACATAAAAAGACCACCAAAAATTACCTTCCCTTTTCAAAGAAGAAAAGACAACATCAGAGAACTTAGGTAGATGTGCAAATTTTTGCCAGCCACAAAGCAGCGCACAGCTAAAGTAACTCACCCTGCCTAGAAATGAAGGAGCTGCTGTAGCCATTTTTTAATTCCATTGATTATTTTTTTAATGCCATTGATGCAGTTGTGGGTTCCTGTGGGAGATGCTCAGAATTCCTCCTAGCCTCAAAACCGAGGCAACAGCTGGCCTTTGAGGGGCTACGAGTGGTTGGAGTTCCTGCCATGAAGTAGGCCAGGGTCCATGCACTGTGTCCTCCCAGCTAAGCTCAAACCTGGTGCCTTATTCACGCTGGCACACTGTAGTAGCCACCATGTGTGAAAGGGAGCAGATGGCAAAGGAAGCCAAGAAAAAGAAGTGGGCTGAGACCTGTTTCCACCTCTGATATCCCCTTCTCCTAGGGCAGTAAGGACATGATGGAGACTTGGCAAACTGGGGTTGTGGTTAGACCACCAAGGTTCACTGCTATGTGGAACAAACTTGAATGCCATTGTGATGGAGCTCCAGAGACTCTGCCTAGGTAAAGGTAAAGGGACCCCTGACCATCAGGTCCAGTCATGACCGACTCTGGGGTTGTGGTGCTCATCTCGCTTTATTGGCTGAGGGAGCCGGCGTACAGCTTCCAGGTCATGTGGCCAGCATGACTAAGCCACTTCTGGCGAACCAGAGCAGCACATGCAAACACCGTTTACCTTTCCGCCGGAGCGGTACCTATTTAACTACTTGCACTTTGACGTGCTTTCGAACTGCTAGGTTGGCAGGAGCAGGGACCGAGCAACGGGAGCTCACCCCGTCACGGGGATTCAAACCACCGACCTTCTGATCAGCAAGTCCTAGGCTCTGTGGTTTAACCCACAGCGCCACCCGAGACTGCCTGCTTACAGCCAATTTCACTGTATGTCCCAGGACCTACACAGAGTTTGGCAATAGGAACTGGTAAGGAAGCCACACTAGTAGGGAGGGGGCAGCACCGTTGTGTTTTGCTATATAATTATCATAATAAAAAGCATTATTCAAAATTACTGTATGAGAACTTCATGGTACACAGTTGCCACAGAAGAGGACTAATTCTAATTCTGAAGCGGGGTCATTAGTGTGTGTGGGGGGGGGGGGAGAGATAACTTTTTGTCTGGACCTGTAAGAAAAAGTGTTTGATCTATTTATTTCATGATAAAAAAAATCTTTGTACAATCACACATGGCACTATTTATTAAAAATGAATACATTTGCTATTATTACAATTGGAAAAACATCATTAGTGTTAAGCTAGCTATGTGCAAGTGCAATTACTTTAAACAGTAATTATTGAGCTTGTGCACTGGAGAGTACTTCCATGACTCATATGCAATATCAGTTATATGAAGGGAATTCCAAAGAGAACAGGACTTGCTTAATTTTTTAGCAGTAGTAATTAACTTCTGCATATCCAGTGTAATTATTTCTATTGATTGAAGCAGAGAAGATATTTTCCTATCTAAAGACAATAATCTCAGGTTACAGTATGTGCCTGTTCCCAAAATACTATTTTAAGCAGTGAGTAGAACTGTAATTTGTCAAGCAGCCTGATTTTCACCAGAGTTTTCTGCTGCTACAGCAGAGTAAAAACTTACACAGCCATAGGAGTCTCTTGATTTCTGGGAGAGGAGGAAAGGTAACAAGCTGAAAATGAGAATAGTGCTCCTGCCCCTTTGTGTTAAAACCCATTAAATGCACATTTAAATAAAAATCAACAAGGATACACTTGCTACAAATTTGCAAAGTATAATACCAGATGGCATTATGCACTGAACAACCTTGTGCCTACATTCCCGCATTAAGAATACAGCCTACCTACACTGTATACAAGAAGATACTCAAAATGCAGTAAAACACTTTAGTTAATGATTTATTAAAGACCATCTGTCAGTATGAATCTTCTGTTCCCAGTTTTATTAATTCAGAAATTAACGCTCGCTCAGTCTCTTCCCCCATCCTTCTGCCAGTTCCAATTTCATATAATCCTGAAGGTATTATGGGCCTTTTGTCAGCATCTTAAATATAGTGATTTGAGTCAGATGCACTGACCATCAGGTTGGTAATAGGATGGGAGCACTCCCTCTCCTCTTGCATGCTTGTTTTCACTTGCAATAGTTACAGACATGGCCTTTTTATTTTAAATGAGGTGGAGGGGTTCCTCCACTGGAACTTGAACCTGCCCTGCTGCTATCCATGAAGATAATGGATCCAATCCAGACAGATCCAATCCAAATGCTGGAAAGAGGATTTTTTCTTCCCCAGTGCAAGCAGTGGGACTGTGGATGTTGCAGAGGCCATACCACTCATACGTCTGGCTTGTCGCTTGCTTGCTTATCTAATTTCTGTACTGCTTAATGTATTAAAAATACTGCCAAGCAGTGTACAAAAAAAACCGAAGCAACAACTTTCATGTTAAGCAATATTTTGTTTGACAGTTTAAACAAAATATTACAAAAATTCAGTTACCTATAAAAATGTTACATGAAGACAACATATATTGTCTTATTTTATTGTATTTATTTATATCACGCCTTTCCCCCCTAACTGGACTCGAGGCGGCTTACAACTAAAATAGAAACAGCTAAAGACGCATAGAATTTGGATGCTGGAAAGGAGCAATGTCTCTGCATCCTCTTTTAAGTGACTTCGGAGGACTCATGCCCTTTAAGGAGATGTCAAAGGTGATGCTCTTGGCTAATAATTAACATTCCCCCCTCCCCCCCCCCAGTCTCTCTCCGCATGCAAAAAGGCAAGAAATCGGAGCACAAGCTTGCATCTTTTTCGGGTCGGGGAAAGGGCATGCAGGAGAGGGAGACGGGGGAAAATGGACACGAGACGCGGACCGAATTGTGCCGGAAGTGACCATGCCACGCCGGAGCTGTGGCGCTAGGAAACCGGACTTCGGTTGCTGCGCTTGGACTCTCGCGTTTGCTTTATCTCTACGGCTTTGGCCGAATAAGGGGTTGAAAGACAGGGTAGAGCGGCCTTATCTCCGCGGGACGGAGATGTGCTCCTCCTACTTCCGGCCCCGGAAGTGAAGAAGTAAAAAAAAAAAAAGGCGGGGGCGTCGCCGCCGCCGCCATGGCAACCGCGGGAAGCCGGCGGAAGGAGCCGAGCTCAGAGGGGCGGTATCAGAACGAGCGGAAGAAGGAAAGAAGCGAGGCGGCGACGTCACGGCGGGGGCGTGGCGAACGTTACTTTTCGCGCGGGAAATTGGGTTCTGCTGGGTGTTGATCTGAAGTGGCCGCGCGGTGAGTGGCAGGTGGCTTTGGAGGAGTGGGTTTCTGGTATGTAGGGGTGTGAGAGGATTATTTATCTCTTTCGCTCCCCCTCTTCGATTTTTTTTTTCCGCCCAATGTCCCCAGGCCCCAACAGTTCACTCCTGAGCTTATTTACTCAGAAGTAAGCCTGGGATGTAGCTATTAATGATAAATTAACATGTGCTATTAAGGTAAGGCGGGGAATATGCAGGGGGAATGATTTTGAGGGGAAGTTGTTTGTAAAATTTGAACTGTTAAAACATAAAAGGGGTCAAACCATCGCAAGAAGTGTTGAATTTTTGGGAGGTTGGATGAGTTACAGTGGAATGGTATCCGGTGTGGGGTGCACGTTTTTATTCTTATTTATTTACGATTGTTACTTTGTCAATATTTTTTTTTATAAAAAATGAAGTAAGCCGCATTGACTTCTTTGTGGGATTTACTCTGAGGCAGGTATGCATAAGGATCACAGTCTAAATCCAGTCCATGGTCCTCCTCCCTCTGTACCTCCCTACAGTGGTACCTCGGGTTACATATGCTTCAGGTTACAGACTCCGCTAACCCAGAAATAGTGCTTCAGGTTAAGAACTTTGCTTCAGGATGAGAACAGAAATCGTGCTCCGGCGGCAGCAGGAGGCCCCATTAGCTAACGTGGTGCTTCAGGTTAAGAACAGTTTTAGGTTAAGTACGGACCTTCGGAAAGAATTAAGTACTTGACCTGAGGTACCACTGTATATGTTATCTTGCTTCCGCCTCTCCCACCACAACCTGCAATCTGTGCATGTGATGCAGCTAATACATCTTTACCGCCCCGAGCAAGCGGTAAAGACCTAAAATAAATAAAAGAAAGTCTTTTTTCTTTAGTGTACCATTGGAATCTATGTTCTGAAGTGTGGTTAACATTTGGACCAGCTTTTATTACTGCTTAGTTATATCCTAAACTGTTGTGATTCTGTTTGTCCTCTTACAGGTTTACAGGGAGAAAATGCTGTTTACTGGAAGCAGCAGACGGAAGTTGTTGAAGGTGGTGGCTGATAGACAGGATCAATACCCTCTTAGCCTTCAGTTCTACCTGCAGCCTCCCACTGAAAATATATCTCTAATAGAATTTGAAAGTTTTGCTGTTGACAGACTCAAATGTGAGTAAACGTGTAGACTAGAACAAACCTTGAATTTTCAGAATGGTTGATTATGTGTTTCTGTGAAATATTCTCATGTGACGCTTACTCACCCTCAACATTTTCAGGATCATAGAGTTAAGACATTAAAGAGTTATTTTCGGTATGGCTATCAGTTATACTTTTATGTAAGTTTGTTATAATCAGTTGTCCCCCAACCACTTTTCAGATATGTATTTTCAGACGCATCTTAGATACTCAGTGCTACATTTCAATTCTGTCATTGTCTTGTTCTTTGCAGTACTCAAAGTAGTAGAGAACTTGGGTGTCAGTTATGTGAAAGGTTCAGATGATTATAATAGAAAGCTGGCATCCGAAATTCGGGCTCTTAAATTTCCGTACAAGGTAAGTAAAACTGAATAATTAACACTGAGTATAAACTTCATATTTCTGTGTAGTTGTGGCCACTGGAAGAAATAATTTTAGAGATATAGTAGTGTTGGTAGATTAAAATAGTTGCACTAGGTCTTGCCCATGACATGTATGATGGTGGTGGTGGTGATGATGCCATGACATGTATGATGGTGGTGGTGGTGGTGATAATATTAATTACTATTATTTTATTATTTATACCTCGCCCATCTGATTTGGTTTCCCTAGCCACTCTGGACAGCTTACAACACATAAAAAATTGTAAAACATTACACATAAAAAATTTCCTGATACAGGGTTGCCTTCAGATGTCTTCTAAAAGTCAGATAGTTGCTTATTTCCTTGACATCTGATGGAAGGGCATTCCACAGGGCAGGCACCACTACCGAGAAGGCCCTCAGCCTGGTTCCCTGTAACCTCACTTCTTGCAGTGAGGGAACCACCAGAAGGCCCTTGGCGCTGGACCTCAGTGTCCAGGCAGAACGATGGGGGTGGAGATGCTCTTGATGTCCAGTATAGGCTTTCCTGTACAAAAGACCACCAAAGTCTAATAACTTGCATATAAAAAGTGATAACATAGAAAGAACATACTAAATAAAATGAAATAGGCAGTGGCAGATAAAAACTATCAGTTGAAAAAAAGAAAACCAAATGTTGAAAAAGCCAGATAGTAGCAAACAGATGAAATGCCTACTGAAATTCAAATGACAAAGTACTACCAGAAAGGTGAAGGAATAAATCTTTCTGGGCAGAGTGTTCCAAAGCTATGTCCCATAATGAAGAATGCATTGTATGCTTTCCTGTAATTTTGCATCTGGCCATGATTTTGTCCCTGATCAAGTTGATGGATCTTGTTTGGTAGTAAAAAACCCCAGCATAGATTCCGGAAGCCTGCAATGTATCCACTACTGACCTGTAGAATTGAGGTAGCAATCCCTTATGCCTGGATGTAAACTCAGTGGACTTACTTCTAAGTAGATATGCATAAGATTGTGCTGCAAGTCTATTTATTTTAAAAGTTATTTATAATAAAGTATTTTTTTGTGGTTGTTACAGTATATTATATGATTGTTATTAACATTCTTTTTTGTAATTGAGGCTTTGGCTGAAGAGGATTATGATGCAAGAAGAAAAGATCACATTTCTCATTTCATATTGCGTCTTGCCTACTGCCAATCGTAGGTATTGTTTGCCCAGTTACTGTTTAATTGCATGTAATAAGCACAAACATCATGTTGTGGATTTTAAGATTTGAGAAAGTGTATTTTGTAACCATTTGTTGATCCACATTCCAAGATCTTTTAGGATTAATCTTATTTGGGAAACGCTGCTAATTTCAGAATGAAAATCATAATGGCCGAGTTGAAACATCCCATCCAATTATTGTTACAAATGCTTCACAATGGTTTGGCATGTTGTCCAAATTAACAAACTATAATTAAAGCTATCACTTCATCTCTGGAGGCAGGTGCACCATGGAGAAGGGAGTAAGCTTAGGAACCTGAACTTTAAAAGACTGGAAAACCAAGCAGATAAGCAATTCCAAACCATGGTTTTCCTGTTCATTTGGAAGTTCACACCATGAGTTGGGTTCTAAATTATTGTTAGCGAAAGCCATGACTTGTTGAGCTGTCTGAATTGAGCCTGTTTCTTGGCATTGCTTGTGGGGAGAGGTGTCAATTGCAATGTGTTAAAAAGGACATATATTTGTATAGTGTTGTGTGTGTGTCTTTTAAGGGAAAAAACAGCAACACAACTTATCAATAAAATAACTTTACCCGTTAATATGGTGTTACAATTAAATACTGAAAACTGTTATAAAGAGGGAGGCATTCAGACTTCTTAAAGAGACTCTTTCTAGGAAGCGGGTAGCCATTTCCAGTTTAATGAGTAACCATCTAGGTCTTTTAAGATGCAAGCTTATTATATTTTAATTGATGTTAGCTGTATTAGCCTTGGAATTTTCTGCAAAAGTTTGAAGTCTTTATTTAAAAGCATTAAACTGAGCTTTATTTTAAAAGCCACATATCCTGTCTCATCCTGTGTCAACTTGATGAGGTAACTTTGGACATTATTTTTCAGTGAATCTGGTGGCATGATGGTAATGAAAAATAAAGCGGTTCACCTGCTGAATTTTAGTAGTGCAATAGTGCCACCAAGAGGCAAAAGCTCACATTGTCACTGCTTTTATTCACAAATATTTTCCAGGGTTTCTCTCTTTCTCTCTTCCCCCCCCCCCCATTTTCCAGTTTTCTAAATTGCACAGTTCTCAACATATAAAAGTTTCTGCTGGTGGCATGAGCCAAGGGCATCTGAACAACAGGAGAGCTGAGAAGAGAAGCATTGCTGATGTCTTTTTATCTCTTTTATCTCTTATCTCTTGGCTCTGTCAGAACACATTGCCCTCTTACGTTTTTCAGAACCCATGGAGTCTTTGCTAAATTTCCACACACGCTGCTTAAACACCCCCCCCTCCCCAACCCAGCCACAACTGTGCAGTATTTTTTCTGCTGCCACCATTGATGCAGGAACAACAGTGGCACTTCCTTCCTTCCTAGAACAGCATTTTAGTGGTGGGTGGGCACTGGTGCCACTTTTGAATAGGAACAAACCATATATCCTTGGTGGTTGCTGCTGTATTAATTTATCCAAATTGTGTGTGCCCTCTCTCAATATATATATTCAGTATATATGAATATGCTATTTAAAAGCTGCACCAGCACCCAACCAGTGTAGCAATGGTTAACCCAGGGTCCATTGTGGAAGTCAGTGAGTAGTGATGCAGCTGGGTCAGGCTAGTGAGAAACCCTCATGAACATCCATGGATCCCTCAGCCAGTGCCTGACCTGGCCAACCAGTGCCACAAGACTTTTTAACACACACACTCACACTCTGCCACCATTCTAAATGAACATGCACTTGGATGTTCTCAAATGTTGTAGGAGCTACTCATTATGGAGTGGAAGAGACTCCTTTTGTCCAGGTAGAAGAACGTAAGAGAAGCAAATAGCATAATAAAGAGCAATGAAAAGTATTTCGTTAAAAATAAAATATATAGGAAATGCTGATCCAGAAGTAGAAACTGGAATGTTGTAGGAAGATTTCAGGTTACATTTTTGTTCATTTGACTTTCAAAGAAAAACTGCTGTATTTTTCGCCCCATAGGACGCACCTAGTTTTTTTGGGGGGAGGGAATAAAGAAAAAAAATTATTCCCCCCCCCCCCCAGGCGCGGGGCTGGGGCGGGGGAAGCCCGAGCTTCCCCCGACCCCAGCCCCCAGAACAGGCTGCTGCCTGCAAGCCTTGCGAGCCCGGCGCGCGAGGCTTGCCGACATCTGCCCGAAGCACGGGGCGGGCTCCGCAGCTTGCCCCGTGCTTCGGGCTGCAGGCTGCCGCCCCAAGCCTTGCGTGCCCTGAAGCCTGGAGAGCGAGAGGGGTCGGTGCGCACCGACGCCTCTCGCTCTCCAGGCTTCAGCAAAAGCCTGCATTCGCCCCATAGGACGCACACACATTTCCCCTTCATTTTTGGAGCGGAAAAAGTGCGTCCTATAGGGCGAAAAATACGGTATGTAGAGAACTGCAGTTATGTGTTTTTGAAAATAACTAAACATATTTCAGCATGTGTTTCATGTTCCATCGCAGGGAGGAGCTTAGGCGGTGGTTTATCCAGCAAGAAATGGATCTTTTCCGCTACAGATTCACTCAGCTAAGTGGAGAATTGACTAAAAAGATCCTTGAAAATGTCAGCTTGTCATATGATGTTGTAAGTTTCACAACTTTGAATTACAGTGTACGTGGTAGTGTTGAAATGCTTAATATCTGAATGGAAGACTGAACAAAGTTTGTAATCTCTCTCCCGCACACACCCCGCCATTCCTTTTTGACCATAATGCATGTTTGGGCTGCCGTGCTTGTCAGTAGAAAGCCACTTGGTCTCCAGCCATGCCTCATGATGAATCTTCTACTGTATTGCTTTTCTGAGGATCTTGAGTATGGTTCTTCCTGGTACGACAGCAGGAAAGATGTGACTATGTAGTACGCAAAACAAATGCTATACAGCTGTCCAAATCCATATTCTGGCTCTGAGTTTTACAAATTGATGTTCCATCTATGAAGATGCATCCCAAACAGATTGACTCATTTCTACGGGCAAACTTTGTTTTTGGGTGAAAAACACATTCACGTTAGGTTGTAAAATGCACACTGTCAACAGCTTTATCTGGGGTTTTCGAATTTACTAGATGTATTTTTCTTAAGATGTAATGCTCTCACTGAAAAATCTGCGCTAATAGGCGACACCTATGAAGGGAATGGTAGAGATGATATACCTAATTCATAATCTTAACCTGTGAAGGGAATGATAGAGATGATGCACCTAATTAATTAATTTTACTGATTAGTGTGTGTACCACATTGACAGGCAGCCATCATTTTACAGGGGTGATGGGTGTCTTGGAGATAGTTTAGAGACGGGATGGTGGGGGGGGGGACCTGTGGCCTTATGGACTTGACTGGGCTCCATCTTCCAGCATCTCCAGCCATCATGACCAGTGGTCAAGAGTTGATGGCAGTTAGGAGTGGCAGATGAAGATGATGGACTATGCGGAGTTAGCCAAACTGACTGTTAGGAGAATGGAGTAAATTTATTGAGTATTTGAAAGGTCATTGTAAAAATGCGAAGACACTAGCGGGACTGAAATAAATCTTGTAACGTAATGTAAAAATAGGATCTGACCATGGACAAAAAAGGACTTGATATAAACAGAAGGACAGAAACTGGCAGTTAAAATACGCATACAATTTACTAGAAATTGGAAAACCAGTTGAAGGGATGGAGGGAAGTCACGAGCTCGGTGGAGCAAATGTATTTGATATGTATGTGAAAAGTTGCTATATTTTGTGTTTAAAAAAGAAAACGAATAAAAAAATATTATTTTTAAAAAACAGTTGATGGCAGTTGGGTCCAGCCACATCGCACAGCTTGTACTCAATGAGGAGTGAGCTTATCCACAAACCCCATTTGGGATGTCACACTAAGCCAAACCTTGGCTTAGCTCAGTGTGGCACGATAGCAAAAAAAGACTGGGGAGGAGCAAAGTAACTGCAGCCTGTATGGCCATGTGTTAGCACTTGGCCATGGTTTGGCTTAGTGTGACGTGTGAATTAGCCTGTACGCTAACACCTGATCCTTGCATACTAAGGGTGAGATTCAGCTCATGAGTCCTATCAGTGGAAGCCTGAACAAGGGCTTCAGCTTGTTCAGTGGGGCTTCCCTTCCTGCAAGCCCCCTGAATTGGTTCAAGAGTGTGTGTCAGCAGAGCCTCCAGAGCAGCTTTCAGGGAGACTGATGGAATGGTTAACAAAGCAAACAGTCAAATTCCTCCCCAAGTAGAAATCACTCCCCCCCTTGAGAAGGGGGAGCACTTGAGAAAGGTTGTGTGAAGTGGGTGGGTTAAAATGAAGTTTGTGAAGGTCAGTTTGGCTGACAAAGTTGCTACAGAATTGTACAAGAAAGTGGTGAAGGTTAACAAGATCTGTACAAAGGTTTCTCTTTGGTTATACTTGTGTTTCTTAAGGAAAGGTTAACCCTCCCAACAGCAACCAACCCAATAAACAATATGTGAGAGGCTTCAGTTCAAATCCTTTGACAAATGGCAGAATACATTTATTTTTTTAAAAAACCCTTTGGGGTAGTAGAAACGGTGTTGCAGTTTATCTTTTTGAGTTGCATCCTGGGAAGCTGGAACAGTATTTGCAGTATCGCTGTTTTCAGAGCAACCCAGACAAGGTGCTCTCTAAGGGCCTACCCGGACTTAACTAAGAAGTGGAGGGGAAATGGGCCCCTTTCTCTTTCACTCAACAGAAGAGAGACTAATTCCCCCTCTGTTTTTACCAGACAATGGGGAAGGGATCCTTCCAATTTTCTAACCTTTCTTTTAAACTTTTTAGAGACTTGTTCAAGAAAGGTTAGAAAAGGGGAAGGAAGCCTTTCCCACGGCCTGCATGGGTTGCCACCAAGCCTAAATGCACAAGGTGTCAAAGGGTTATCTGGCTCCTTTTTCAACCTTTTTCCCAATCCACTTTCAGTTCCTAGAAATGCTTCAGAGTGTTTCAGCACTCCAGGAAGGCTGTTGGCTGCTTGTGGAATGACTGACCCTAGACCATTAACTAGACTTAAAAAATATTGTTTTTGTTGTTGTTGTTATTAAACATGGATACTCCTTTTTTATTTTTAAAACTTTTGCAGTTGTGATTGTAGCCAGTGAAAATGGCAAGGTACAGTACAATTGAAGTTTATAGTTCTGTTGGTACTAATAATGTTTCTGAGATATAATATTATTGACTGGATGTCTTGCATAAGGCAGTCTACTGCTTGAACTTTACTGACTCCTGAATTTGTATTTAAATACAACTGTATTTAAGCGCTCGTGCACACACACACAATTATTTTTTTTTGTTAAGAGTACATTGCAGTGCACTATCGGGGGAGGAAAAATTGTGTCCTGGAATAGTCAGATGGAGGAGCTAATGCTCTACAATGCAGTTACTGGCTGGCTGTGCCAAAAAATAAGGGTGGGTAGCAGAAGTCAGTAAAGTTCAGTTTTCCCCCAGGTAGCTGCTCTTTGATTTTGTTGTGATTTTCAACAAAAAGTCTTTGGAGAGGTTTGTTAAGTAGTGCAAATGGCAGTTCTTCAGTTTCCTGTTTTTATCACTGAATAGTTCTGAAAAGAGCAGGCATCTTTCATTTTATTTCACTTTCAAACCTTTCTAATTGAGCAGTAGAGGGATATAAGTGCACACTGATAATTCAGCATCTCAGTGAATGGAATGTTCTTGACTTTCTGTGAAAGCAACAAAAGGGTAACTGTGCTTTGACAGCAGTTAATTAAATGCTTAAAGTGCTTGGTATCTCCTGTGCTTTGATTTGCCTAGCTGAAGCGTGGCTTCTAACCTATTTGAATTCCAGTAGTTGGATCAAAACCACTTGGTTTTTATGATGGTGGGGTTTTTTTTGCTTTTGTTTTGGAGATTAGTGTCTACATAATACATTTCTAAAAATGGCAGCTGTTAGTATTCACTTCCAGCAATTCAGTGGGAACTAGAAAACCTTATTTTCAGCAAGATGCCCTACCCATATTTTTTTGGCCAGGTGGTGCAGACAGGTTGGGCAAGCCCAGCCAGAGGCATAGAAAAGGAGTTGCCTTAAATCTCTTGTGGTGAACCAGTTCCCGGCCCAGAAACAGAATTGAGTTCTATTGATTCCCATGGGAATCTTCTCTCTTGGTTTTGGAAAAGCACATAAGTACAAATAAGTAATGTAATTGTCCGACATGAAAACATAGGCTAGAAAGCCAAAGAAGAAAAGTGTTTGATCTTAATAATAATAATAATAATAATAATAATAATAGTTATTATTAATACCCCGCCCATCTGGCTGGGTTTTCCCAACCACTCTGCATAGCTTGCAGCATATCTTGGAGATGGAGTCTAGGTAAAAAAGAATCATGCAGAATCACAAAATTGTAAGTTGGAAGAGACCCAAAAACTGGTCCTGCTCCCTGCAATGCAAAAATCCTACCCGCATCTATCCCTGGATGGGCTTGAGCCACCAACCTTCTGGAAGCAATCTTAGTGGTCTAGGTTTTGCAATGCTTCATCTTATCTTTATTACTCTCTGCTGACCAACCAAGGGCCATAAGATTCATTAAGGGCCATTGGACTTCGCTTTTTAATTCATCAGCAATGGCAGTTGCTACCTGCCCAGCATCCTGCAGCCATGTCTTCGTTCGCTTTTGGCTTGTTTCTCTTAAAAAGCAAGCAAACAGGCAGGGGTTGAAAGGAATGACAATCACCTTCCCCTAGTTTGCCACCCTCCTGCAGCCCAATACACAGCTTCATTTGTGAGCTGCCTAGCAACCTTCCATTTGAACTCTGCTCACCAACAGTGGTGGCTGCTAGCCCGCCGTTCCTCTCGGGGCTCCTCTCTGTAAGCATTCACCAACCCCCAGTGAATTTTAAAGGATGGGGAAAATAAATGTTAATTAGAAGGAAGACGAATGATAAAGAGTAATAGTGACAGTTGACCAAGCAGCCCTAGAAATGTCATGGGCAATAAAGAGAGGCCCTGAAGTACTATAATTAACATCCCCATTGAATGATGGTGAGAAACGTCTAATCCTAGATTAATGGTTTAGTAGTAGTCTGCACCAATTAATTGATTTAAGCTTGCAGCCCTACAAAAATGGAAATGTGATTAGAAAACAAAATTATGAGTTTAATTACAGGAATTATTATTAGGATTTTAGACACCAGGTTCTTGAAATCTGTTGGTACATTTAAAAAGAAAGTTGGCGTCCATGCTAGTTTCTTTTTTTCCTTGGAAAGAGCTTCATTTCAAAATAACTTATCCAACTATCAAGATGCTATAGAAGGCAGTTTAAAACTGGTATCTATGGTCAGGCAATGCTTGAGTGAAAAGCTGAGTTTTAATAACTGATGGAAACCTCACCTGCAGGTATTGGCGGTGGGGGTGAGGGGAATTTATTCCATGAAAAAAGGATGCCAGTGTGGAGAATGTTCACCTCTGTGCTATCACAAGGTAGAGTTCCTTGGGCTGCAGCACAGTCAACAGAGTATCGTCTGAAGATCTTAAACATATCTTCTCATGATGTTGGGTTGGTTGAAGTGATTTTGGGGTGATGGCAGGACTGCTAATTGTGGAATATCCAGGAGCCTTGGGAAGCAACTATGGAAGAACTTCTAAAGGCCTTCCTTACGGGGCTCTATTCCATTCCAGCTTGCTTAATGGTGCATGAGGCTCCTTATTGTAGAACCATGAGAAGGTAGACTCGGTTTCTGCTTTTACTACTCAAAGGCTTAGTTCTGAGGATGGAGGATGTTGAAGGGGGGAGGGAAATAGAACACAACTTCTTAATGCTACTTCCATTTTTGTTTCTTAACACTTCATACTTCATTTACCTAATTCAAATAGTTACTTCCTCATTCGGATGAGTCGTCTTCCTTTGTCATTCCTTTGTATTCCTTTTCCTTTAATAGTACACCTGAGTTCCACATTTTTGCAAGGCTTAGCTTAGATGCCTCATTTATTTTAACGTTGTAACTAAGAGATCTTCTCTTATAATGTTTTCAGTGATTTTCAAAGTCAATAACTTTTGTTTTAGATTCCAGAATCCAAAAAGTTGAACATTGGAGAGAAGCTGCGAAACTCAACTCCTGGTTTGGGTGGTGTTAAAATAGAAGAGTTTGTCTTTTATAAGGTAAGTGAGCAGGCTGAGGTGGTGGCAGCATTTTGTATAAATGAAAAAATCTGTACAGTGGTACCTCGGGTTAAGAACTTAATTCGTTCTTAACCTGAAACTGTTCTTAACCTGAGGTACCACTTTAGCTAATGGGGCCTCCCGCTGCTGCTGTGCCGCCGGAGCACGATTTCTGTTCTCATCCTGAAGCAAAGTTCTCAACCCCAAGTACTATTTCTGGGTTAGCGGAGTCTGTAACCTGAAGCGTCTGTAACCCAAGGTACCACTATATTTTCATTCTCATAACCTCAATTTCCCAACCCATTTGGGCGAATAGTGTTACTACTTCATTTTCTAATTGCTTCTGCCTACAGTTCTTATGTATATGACTTGCCTTAAAGGAAATGATTTGCCAATGTATATAGTAATCCTACACTGCAAATATCTATGCAGTTAAGCAGATGCTGTATTACCCTGGGTGGAAGTTGGGTAAAACAAATACTGGGCTGCATTCGACTACGCTATTCTGTTAGTAGAAGCCAGCACAAGGTTTCCCCCTAATGCAATGGGTCTTTCCTCCTGTGCCCCTCATACCTCCCTCAGATCCACTCTAGAGGCTTGAGAGAACTTCCAGAACAACATGTGGATCGGGGGAAAGAAGGCAAGCAGCTCCTTAGCACTAAGTTGAATTCCACCCATTATACCCAGAAGGAAAGTAATTTCTGTGAAATGATTTCTAAAGGAATCTTCCCAAATTTAGACTTGGAAGCACTGTTGTTTCACGTTAGGCTTCTCAGGACCAATGAGTGTGCTAAAAAGAAAAGAGGTCTTTATCAAAAATGGCCTAGCCAGTCCCTTTCAGAGATTACATCTGCCTTTTCTGTCTTTCAGGTTCCTTTCTGTGATGCTGTGGATTTAGTCCGTGTGAGAAAAGTTTACCTTCATGGCGGCTATGCCTATGTACCTCAGCAAGATTTTGTTACCATTGTTCTGAACAATTACAGAACCAAACTGTCAAAAGCCCTGGCAGTAAGTATTTTTCTTCCTAATTTGCTCTGTGTTTTACACTCCCTTTTCGGATTTCATTTTTATAAATGGTAACATTCCATTCAGCCTGAGAAAGGTGATTGGGATAGGGCATGGGGATTTGTCTTTCAGGATTTGAGAAGTACTTCAACTGCTTCATCTTTTTCTTTTTTTAAAAAAAAAAGCTTCTTATTCTCATTATGTAAGACTTCACCTTACTGTACATTGTAAAATTGGAGCCTTTCTGCTTGAGATGGCATTAGTAATACACAGTGGTTTTATACGGCAGTTCTTATTGACAAGCAGTTTTCTGCTCGCTCCATTTCAGCAAACTTCAGAATAATATTAGGAACAGGTAGAGGAACAGGGGCAGAAATATATATATTTTTATATTGTAATTTTATCCTGTGAACCACCCTGAGACTCGCAGGTATAGGGCGGTATACAAATTTAATAAATAACAATACAGTGGTACTCCGAGTTACAGACACTTTGGGTTGCAGACACTTCAGACTCCGCTAACCCGGAAGTAGTACCTCGGGTTTAGAACTTTACCTCAGGATGAGAACGGAAATCACGCGGCGGTGGTGGGAGGCCCCATTAGCTAAAGTGGTACCTCAGGTTAAGAACAGTTTCAGGTTAAGAATGGACCTCCGGAACGAATTAAGTTCTTAACCCGAGGTACCACTGTAATACTAAATAGTGATGCTTGTTTTTCAACTTGCTTGATATTCAGTCAGCTGTATTACTCTTAGAGACAGAATAAATATTGTTGCTTGGGGAAGGATTTGTTGCCAGCACACTCTTAAAATAAAATAAAATCTGTATAGTTCTCATATGGACAAGTCACTTTGGTGCTGCTGACGCAGCTGTTTGACTTCATCCCCAGAGGCTCATTCCATCGTCTCTTGAGACAGACGGATGCCAACAACAACTTATTAATGCAATCCTGAAATGTAGTGTCCAGAACTTCCAAATCAAGGTTGGAGTGATGCTGAGTATAACTGTTTTTTGTATGCGTCTTGAAAACATGGTTGTTACTACAAGTAAAAAAAATGAATTCTGCCATTTCTGTGACAGCATCAGTGTTGACTCTTGCTTAGTTTGCCATTCTCAAAAGTGTTGGCTATCTAGTCATTAATTCTGTAATCTTCATGTAGGAGAGAGTTGCAGTCCACAGTTCGTCTCGAATTTTCATTTTGCCATTATCCTAGTTGTCCAATTTTCAGCTGGTCCTTCCCATCTTTCTATCATCTGCAAATTTGACTGCTTCTGTCTTTTTTTAAGTGCAGTTTTTCAAGCCATCATACATTAATGATTGCTAGCATTTAACCTTTAAAAAAGTAGTTTCTGCAGCTTAGCCACTTTTTTGCTTGTTCATCATGTATTAATAGCTTTTAAAAAAGAAATTCCAAACACTGTAAGAAGTAGGTGAGATAGTTTCTGAAACATAAGGAGCTATAGTGGAAAGTTCAAATCAGTATAACGGTTCTCCTGTGTCTGCATTAATGGAAGTGGCTTTGAAGAGGATCTTATTCTTTGTTTCTCTGTTCGTGGCCAAGGTTTCTTTGTGCTTCAGAATTAACTCATTCCTTCAGGCATAAGACTTGATGTTTTTTACAGCGCTGGTGTATCATAGCGACTTAAAAGGCTGAGATGTGAACTGGGAAGCCTGTAGTTTTGCAAGGTTTTTACAAGGTTATTTGTACAGATAACATGCAAATGGTTTGGGTCCGTTGGTGCTGTTGCACAGATAGCATTTCCATTGACCCCTCCAGTTTTTGTTAACTAGCATGATTCTGCTCCAGCTTATTTTGTGATCGAACTGAATTACCTTTCTTCAGTGTTGCATTGCCTGTTTGGGGAAGGTCTGTTGCTTGGTGGTAGAGCATCTACTCAGTAAGCAGGAGGCCTCAAGTTCAGTCCTCTGCATTTCCTTCTAGGTTTGTGTATGTTCCCAGCCTGAAACCTTGGACAGCTGTTGCTAGTCAGTGTTGAGAATATGGACCATATTCAGTGTTGAGAATAGATGGACCAATGGTCTGATTTGGTGTAAGACAGCTTCTTAGGTTCCTAATGAAAATACTATCATTGCTATTTTATTTATAGCTGGATGCTTCTTGCTGTGCATACCATTGCTCTGCTTGACACATGACTGCCCCGAAACACAACAGATTTTATACAAATGGCCTACTTGTGATGAGAAGACACCAGCAGATCCTAGTTGCTAGGAGACAGCAGAACACTGAAATAGCTTCTTTCGTACTTGTAAAGGTTTTTTGGTTTTTTTGGCAGTTTTGTATAATAAAACTGTTCTTGGAGGCTACAGAAATCCTTATGAACTTTCACTTTAAGATTTTGCAGTGTAACCTGCAATCATTATTTTTGAATGTTTATTTATTTAGGTTTGGCAAACATTCCATGGTAGCTAAAGTTTGGATAGTTTGGTTTTAAAGTTGATTTTATCAGATGCAACTAAATGCGGTTAAGCTCCAATTAAGAAGCTTTTTAATATATTGATAAAATGATTGTTCAGTGTGCTAAATTGAGACCACAGGGTGCTATGTGTGTTCTGACCACCAAGCCTATGCTACAAAAGTTAAAGGTAAAGGACCCCTGGACGGTTAAGTCTAGTCAAAAGTGTTAAGTTGTGGGTGAACATATCAGATGACACAGCGATTCTTCAAACAGCTCTTGTATATTCACAGGCCAGAACAGAACTGAACTGAACTGAAGGGTTCAGCCAGCCTGCTTATATAGAGCTCCACTACAACGCAACAGTAGCCACTTTCTGTAACTATCCAATCACTGAATGTCACTTTCAATCCCTTATTTGCATATGTGGACCTGAGTGAAAACTATCTACAGTATCCTCCTGCTGGCCCAGTGTGAGAACTTCAGTACACAGCAAAAGGCGACTATGGGGTTGTGGTGCTCATCTCACTTTCAGGCCAAGGGAGCCGGCGTTTGTCCACAGACAAATTTCCAGGTCATGTGGCCAGCATGACTAAACCGCTTCTGGCACAACCATGATAATGCACCATGCAGACTAAGTGTGAAGGGATATTTTAAATTAATGGGTCCACAGTTCTGCTCACAACATCTGAAATTACAAGTTCTCTTGCCATCTTCTGTGGAGTGTGACCAGCTGCAGGGGAGGGATTTTCCCATGGTTGAGAAGAAGCCTTAAACCGAAGAGGTTTTAGCACCTCTTTTGCTGTTGGGGGCACTTGGAGCACCTTTTAAGTGCAGAGCCAAATCAAGAACCAAATCTGCCTCCCCATTGCACTCTGACTTGGGCTGAGGAGAGGAAGGTGCGATGACTTGACTTCATGTTTGCTGGTGTTTGCCCTTCCTGGAGGGGTGAGCAGAGGCCTGTTTCCACATTACGTGAAATGGAATCTTGCCTTCCCTTTCCCAAGCATGGAGATGGGGAGGATAGCAGAAAGTTGTCCTGCACCTAATGCTGCATTTTGGAGGTACAGCGGAAGGTCAGGAACAAGAATCAGGTCCTGGGAAAAGGTGGCATAGTCATGGAAAGCATAGGTTTTTTTGGGGGGGCACCAAAGTTATGTGTAAACCCCTGGTGAAAATCCATGGTTAAGCTGGGCTCTGATTCAAAAAGTGGTTGAAATACTATTTTGAAAAGGTCTTTTTCAGGAGCAGAAATCATATCTAGGGGTTGTCGTAAGTTGTGCAGATCTGTTCTGGTACCATAGCTTTCCTAGTCCCTCAAAGGTATTGTTGTTTTCGTTGGCATCTTTCGATCTCTCGAGAGGCGAGAAAAAGAAGTTCAAGAAAACACTTCCCACTTCTTTCTAGATACACTGCCCAATCTGACCTTGCATTTATTTACACCATTGCTCTACATATTTACATTGACAGATAATTTGAAGTATTGGGTGAAGTGGGCAGGAAGGGCAAGGTTGGTCTCCCATGCCCGGAAAAGTGAAAGACCCCTTTCCTTTCTCATTGGGATCTTGAAGATAAGACAATATCTTCGTGTTATGAATGGGGGTGTGTCATCCACGGGGAGGGACAGTTGCCACTGGTTAACATGTTTGTGTTCATTCCAGAAAGCTTCATAGCCTGCATTATGCAAAATGACTTTGATGTATAATATACACTTCTAGAATGTTTGGGTTTAAATTTCAGAATAGATTTCAGTTTGGTTGGCACTCTCGCTTCCTGATTATAACGTGGAATTGGGAGCTGATTAACTCATTGAGTGGCTGTTCTGATCCATCCAGACAAAATGATTCAAAAGTCTCTGGATGAGCTCCATTATGCCAGCAGAGCAGGTGTCTGCTTGTTCAGTGGGGCTTCTCTTTCTTCTCTACTTTGCAGCTTCAGTTTCCCTGCCCCACGTTCTAAAAAATAAATGTGCTCTGGAAGGTTGGAGACCCATCCAGAACATACTTTGAGGGCATGTGATGGGGCTGGAGGGGGGTGGAGATATTCACAAGTGTATTTCTGTTGCGCCAAGTGGAAAGGCATCAGCCTTCTAGTTTTGATGCTTATAGGTGGAAATGCTACATATGGAACCATGCTTCTTTACACCTTTTGGTCATGGATTCACCTTTCCTCCACTACTCAAATCTGTAAACACCATTTTTCATGTAGCTCCTAGCAGTAATTTTTGTTTGGGAATGAGAGAGGGAGTATGCAATTTGATACAGATGGTGTTCAATAATATTTGATCACCTGAAGTTTCAAACTGTGAAGAAGAAGGCTTTGTGTTGTGGCATTAATATCAGAAAATTATGATTAATGAAGGTCTTGTCACTTGAGATTCGTTTCAGGTATTGAGTTTTGAGTGTTAACCCAAAGTAATTCACTGTAACATAAATGGATGATTTTTATAATATGCATATACAAGGTTAGTAAGGTAATAACTTTGACAGTGCAGTATAAAACATGATTAAAATGACTTTGTCCTCTGGATGCTTCGTGCTGAAGTGCAGCAGAAAAGTGCTTTCATTTTAGTATAATTTCGTTTAATG